AAGCCAGGGCCCCGTCATGATACTTGTAGAGTTCACGAGCAGGCAGTAATTACGCTGAATAAGATTGCAGACTTAGTGGCTCAACCAAATTCAGATGTTATTATGCTCTGGACCGCTGAGAAGCATGATGCTTCCAAGCTGCATCAACATAACTCATGCACATTTTCTGGTATGGAGTTTTCTATCATACGTGGCCCCAATATAGACACCATAACACCACAATGCGTGTTCTAGGAACCGAAAAAATGGGGCCCCTCATTTTCAGAAACCCCACCTGCTAACCGACGTGTCAATTTCCATTCAATGTTCTTTTCCACTGATCCTCCACCAGTCCTCATATAATCCTTATTTGCCCCTATGTAATCCACAAAGAAGGCCATCATAGTCATATAATGATTTCCAGTTCATTTTTCATCTTTTTTCCATTTGATTCTCCACTATTGGGTTAATATACCTGAACCCCAAATAGGTTACCAAGGGACCATCAAGGGTGGACATAGCGGTCCCTCGGGTAGTTTAGTACAGTTCCTAATATATTCTCTACTAAGGATCCATGTCCATGAATTTTGAATGTAATATTGTCTGTAGCTCTTAGAATTTCTTATATTATGCTTATAACCATATGATACATTGCAGGCCTGGGCACCGTTTTCTTGACACTTGACACCGTGGCAAAAGCTTCGGCAAAAGGCCAGCAGGGGCAAATAGCCAATGACAGTATTGCAGACATGCACGAGTCTCTCTGAGACGTTACTGCAAATCAGCCAACAGGGAGATACTAACTAGTACCAGATACCTGAAGATTTCGCATTCAATGGGATGTCCTGGAGTAACGCAAAACCTGCATGGCCAGGTGATCCGCAGCCACAGCGACCAAGAAAGGCAAGTCTAGTCCATGCTTCTTTAGAGAATCAAATGGTATCTGTGGCAGAAACTTTGTAAATGTCGCTCGTGCTTGAAGATCTTTGGCGCGTGAGGTCAGCGAGTTTGTGTTTGGTCCGCGCCGGCGTGGCCTTCGCGTTGGGCGGCGAACCTGAAAACACCTCAAGCTTGGGGGGGTGAGGCATACAGCAGTGAATTTGACCGAGTGGGCTGACACCGGACAGACAGGGCTTCAAACTGTCACTGCTGCGTGCCACCATGCAGCAAACGACTCCTGTCAGAGTAGATGCTTTCATTGCTCCGCCTGTTCTGCCATGGTAATAATAGTATTTAATAGTAATACGACTACGAATAAGAATAAGCGTAATAATCAGAGTCATAGTAGTACTCGTGTATGCCCAGATTCTAGGATGGCGGTGGACTTCAGCTGTAGTGGATGAGGGAAGACTGGGTGGAGCAAAGTAATCATGACAGCTGACATTACATGGTGGTCAAAGACCACTCATCTGTTCATCGCCAATGCGAGCATGACTGAGCACATCAAAATTTGCTTTTACAAGCTGCATCAGCCATGTTGCTGCTCCATTCAGGGAAGCTGCCTTTGGTTTGTGCTTGATGCTGCATGCTGCAGCTTTTATTTCGCCTTAACATGAGCTAACCACCCCACTTCAAGCGTCACCAGCTCCTTGCGCCTGCCCAGAAAGCCCGGGCAAGCAACCAAAAGCCGTCAGAATAGAATCGAACAGACGCACGACCACACCCCTTGCCTCGAAGATACCGAAAGCCCAACACAAGGAGGACTTGCTAGCGCCTTCCATGCTAATTGCATCGATGCCCTCGGTGTCATGAACACCAATGCCAAGCGCAAGCGGGAAGTGCCTGGTGCCCAGCTTTCACCGCCTTGGCCAGTTTCAGATGGATCTGGATTATTGGTGCTGCCTGACATGGATGATAGACTGTACTTAATGTAATTTCCCCGTAAGGTTCATGTCGGGGTTTCCCAAAATTAGGGGTACCATTTTGGGGGTCCCTATAATAAGGATTGTAATATATTGGGGTCTATATTGGGGTCCCCTTATTTAGGGAAACTACCATGTGGGGGAGCTTCTGAAACTGTAGCGCTTCTGATGTCTGTGCTTCTTCTTGCAGCTCTAACCTCTCCGGTGCAATGTGGTAGTTTCCCTAGAATAGGGGACCCCAAAATAGACCCCCAACTATTATAGTCAGTATTACGGGAACCCCCAGAAAGGTACCTGCTGATGTGCAGGAGCCC